CACAAATACGTGCATCTTCATGTTTCTTCTGGAAAAATCAGGCTGGAGATAAAGAAAGAAGAATGAGAAGAAACAATACGGCGCAGGACAGTTCTTATTAGGCCTATATAACTGTACGAGGATGAAGTCTTGTCATGTGGGACGGTAAGCAAACGCAAACACTGATCCAACTGCATTTCATATATAAATATAAACTTCTTTCTAATGCCACATCATCGAATTTCATCGAGTGCTCCTGAAAGCAATCCTGTGTTACATAGACTTCCCCTTAATCCTGTACAGTTCAGCTTTTAGATTCTGACAGATAAAAAAAGGCCAACTTAAGTCTGTGTTCAAGTCTTTTGCTATAACAAGTAGATCCAGCAGGGTCAGCGATTAGAACGAAATTATATTTCTCTTCTGCTGTCTGCACTGAGAAGTTTCGTTACACTGCCTTGTTCCGGAGTACCAAAAAATATACGAACATGTGGGGGAGACTTTGGTAAGTCCACTCGTGCCTTTTTACGGGATCGTAAACATTTCGCCAGTTACTTTAGCCCAAACCATTAGATGTCAGATTCTCACGGCGACGGTAGACGTCTACTAAAGTGCATGGTGCAACCCAGAAGACAGCCATTTTAACACTGTATTATTTAGAAAATGGCATGCGACTTAAAAAAACTACAGCTTAAAATTTAAGATTCTAAGTATGACTGCACTCACTGTGAATTGAATGTAATGATCACATGAAAATAAATACAACATGGCATCGGAATATCTACGAGTAGTGTCGGTTGGTTATGTTAGAAACATAATTTGCTCTGTATCATCGTATAAACTGTTAATTCTCCCGGTGAAGATGAATCAGGAGCATAGGGAAAACCATGCATTTTCAATGTCAGCACCTGACGGAAGTGAAGTGAGTGGTCACCTTCAGCACAGACTGAAGTCTCCGGAAATAATTGTAGGGCAGGAGGCAGAGCGAGTCCTGATCCTGGTCTTGACGTAGCGGCGAAACAAAAATCCTTGCACACGATTTCAATCACTCCCACGCAGTACCTTTACCATACACCGCACATTTCGTCAAATAGGAAACAAAATGTTCATAATTCTTACCCAAAACATTAATGGGAAAAAATAAGCCTATAAGGACAATCCCAAGTTTCTTGTCACGAAAAACTTAACTTTAATTGTTGTATGTTCTATTGCAGAAGCAGCGAGCTTGTCACCGAAATAATCGCGTTTAAAATTTGGTTCATCTTTGATGTGAGTTCCATAATATTTTCTTACTCTGTCCAGAAATTCATTAACTATGTATGTAGGTCCTCTGTTCCTATTTTTGCTAAAAATTACATCATTCAGTTTCGTGCCTAGAGTACAGGCTTCCCTCAATGCAGGCCCGGCTTCAAAACCTATCCACGTTCACGCTGAATACTTAATTACGAGACAAAGTCACCCCGAGGTAAATTTTCTTCCGTTATACTAGGCGTTTATTCTAGTTCCTCCTTACAAGAGTCAACAGATGAAGTCAGAATTCACTTCGTTTTTCAACGAGATTTTGCAGATCACTTCTGGCGACGTAACGTATCCAGAGTGAAGACAGTTGAAGTTCAATACTTATCGGTAAATTCGGCTGCCGACAGACGCTCTCTTATCAACACTGTATGAAACAACTGTTCAAATAAAACATCTTTATATTTCGCACGCAGTATGAGAAGTCTGTGCTCTAAACAGCGTTGAAGACTTTCGTAATGCAGCAAATTAAAAAAAAATTCGTCCATTTGATTTTGATAATGCTGTGTTCTTTGCTGAGAAAGTGAATGTAGAACACCGGAAGGATGTTTTCAGCTACAGAATGTGGACTCTCACCATCAAAAATAACAACACCGATGCTTTCGGAAAGGAAGACGTCACTATTTTACTCAGCTAACCCGAATTTTATCAAATGACGTAGCTTAAGATCAGTTACTGTATTAATACCTGTCATGAAGGACAAAGATAAAAAAGTATCCTAAATTATTACATTCTGGTTTCATAAGTGGCTGTCACACAAGCGTAACTGGATCGGTTGGTCGTGAGTGAACTGGAAGAGGTGTTGGCCTCGTTTACAAACATCCCAGTCACATTATGTGAGATCATACATAACAAATTACTGTTATTTGCAATCCGCAACAATACATTAACTGTACACGACTGTGGTTCTCACCTATTAAACGATTACTTAATTTTTCTTCCGGAGTTTTCTTAAAAAAGAATTCCATAATAAAAACAGTAGCTCAGAACTAATACTTCAGCCTCTTCTAAATTTAAGTTCCGGAGAGAAAAAAAAAATCTAATAATATCAGCAATGTTCTTATGTTTTTGTTACCAACTGAACAGATATTTTTTCGCATTACGAATTCAGAACACTGTCTTGCCTGGAGTCTGTCTACTAGAGCATGAGGAACGTGTCTCGGCTGACGGGACTCAAACCCAGAATATTACAGCTGAGAACAGACACGTATTTATTCGTAATTTATTTCAGACATGTCACACGCCACTAGGCCTACTTCGATTCTTTTTTCCAAATTTAGACTTACTACTACAGAAAAATACAATGTATAGAGACTATGCAATGGGTTTAGAAATAATGTTATGTAAATATTACAGAACATTTATGGCACAGATAAATTAGTGCCTCAAAGTGATGGCTTTGAATTCCATCCCGTACCTATAGAAAGGTATCTTTAGATATTTTAATATAACGAGTAAAATACAAATTAAAGCCATCTTTCACACATTAATTTAGAAATTAATTTCTGTGGACAGCCTTAGTATAGTGTGAAGTAATGATCAATTTTCAGTCCTCGTAAATATAATTCCTGTAGAGACGAATCGAATGGACAAGCATACAAAAGCCCGCATACCGAAAATGCCAGATTTAAAAACGCTCAACTGTTATAGAAAGTACAAAAACTGTATATTAAGTGCTACAATAAACAATACTGGCGAGTAACTGTAAATCTTTATTACACTATCAGGAAGGAGATGTCTCTGGACTTTGCTGCAGATTCAATATGGCAACGGGCTTGTTGCCCCCCAGTCGATAACAATTTCAGGCGCCCAAAATTTAAATTCATAAAATAACTAAGAAGGAAATGAAGACGATTTATATTCATACCTGTCTCCCCCCATCGCAATACAGTCATAAAGTGTTATACGTAATAAAAAGTAACGAATCTAACAAATCGACATATTGTACCCATCTCCAGGTGGGGGTTTTCCACCACCTTGACGAAGCAGACAATTCTAATATTACACGGAGTAAGTCGTGTGTCCACAGATTCTACTTCTGACCACAAAATGTCACCAAACAGCAACGAAGTAAAATTATTTAAAGTTCTTTTTGGGTGAAAGCCTAAAAATGTAAATTTTTCGTATGACATTGTCTTAATCGATTTTAACCCTTTAAACCCAAAGCCGGATTAAATATTCAAAAATTCATTTCTTACCACAAAGAAAACTCATCACTTATCTATTACAAAGGTAAATCTGTAAATGTGTTAAAGGAATTAACCGCTGTTTATTCTCAGAATCACACGAATACACTCGGTGGACAAAATACAGTTACTGATTGTTAAACCCGGTGGGGCATATAATTACCAGTAGTCTTTATGTTAATCCTGCTTTTGAGCGCTGACACTGTATAAAAATGGCTGTGTTGCCGACGTTTCAGAGAAACATCTGGGCCCCAACACTCGCTCACTTCAGCCCCGATGATGGAGGCAGTATGTTACTCTCAAAAATCGCTAACGCAGTCCAATTCCACACGGAACCAATAATCAGAAGCAGGTGCAGTGTTAACACTGTCTTCCTAGCAGCATTATATAAAAATTTCAGATAACTGCTCGTGATCTGAATAAAATGCAACATATTTGGAAGTCAGTGTTTATAATTAAACATTTGTCATTTGGAAATGGAATATAGCTCTTAAACCGGCATTCTGGTCTGGAAAGGCCATAATGATGGACAATTCTGTTTTAAATATTATTTCATTTCTCTGATAAAGTAGCCGAAAAGAATTAAGTAATTACAGCTTTGTGATTTACAATATGGAACTAACATAAACGCAAAATAAGTATCGGTTATCGAAGCAAGGAATGTAATTTATTATCTGCTTTCTAAGACAACTTAATAGCCTCGGCAGTACCGTCAAAATGTTATATTTTTATACGTTGCGTCACTCCAGATATTTGACAGTACTGTGGCCTAACACGTAGGCGAACCATGGAACTGGCAATGTTATGAATAACTGGATCTTTCATTACGAAAGTTATCATAAGCACAATGAATTTCTGATAATTGGAGCCTGTGACTTTTCATTAAAATGCATTTTCACTGATTTCATATTTCCTCAAATTTAAAGATATTAATTGAAGATAAGAAATCAGCACTTAAGTGGTATTTAACCGAAGTCAACCGATTTCTTTCACAAGTTTTCACGGTTTATTTCAGATATTAATTTCTTGCTGAAATAATACGAGTTTCTAATTGCCTGAAAACGAAGCGCGAAACGGTGTTTCTAAAATGGTATAGAAAAGTCTGGATCGTTCACAAACAGGCCTACTTCTTTATTCTTGTAAAGTCTGCTAATGTACCAGTAAATGCGCCCTGGCGAACCTGCCGTTTGACTAACCTCTCACTGTTTTACACATGGTCCTGGAACCGCGTCCCAAAATTCGACACTTTTATCACGTTCTTTAGCCACTGCACACCCGTTCTAACCAAAGAAATAAAGTTGGCGACAAAGTGGGCCATACTGCAATCTTGTTTCATATATGGAGTAAAAGCAGGTCCATTTTTACACTACCCCAAGTGTCATCGTGATTCACAAGATCACTCTCAACGCCGACATGACGATATCACTACCACCATCCTTGAAAACAAATCCATTCACAATCCACAACTCTTAGCCTTGAAGCATAATAGTGAGACGTTTAAAGAATACGATCTCAAAATAGGGTGTGTATGGTCGTACTCACCTCTAGGTCTACTGAAAGACTTCATAGTCTTAATTCCCATAACGGCGTAACTTTCCCAGTCAATATACATGTGTAGTGACGGTGAAATTGGTGACTAGAAGAAACAACACTGTCTACTAAGTTAAACACTTGCCATCACAGCTACTCTTCATTGTAACCTGTCAACACGAAGCACTTGTAACAGAAACCATCACAGCGAATATCCAATTACTGGCGCGTCGACTGAGATCTGAAGATAATAAACACATGAAAATCACAGATACTTGCAACTATTTGAGATCGTGGAAACTACAAAGCAGTGCGTGTTTCAGTTCGCCGATGATCACATTGCTAATACCGCAGCTAACATTCAAAACCTGTTCAACACGAAACTTCAATTACGACAGTCAAACAAGTATGCACATTTCAGTATTGCCACTAGAAACAAAACAAAATCACGAAAAGTTAAAACGTCTTTACACTTGTCTACGCGTGACGTGCCTTATAAAGACCATTCTAAGCAGTCGCTTATCGCTTTATCCCATGCTGTTTATTTGTCGCCTACTGGAATAAAGCTTTCTCATAAACTCCACAGGGATTATTACATGGGGTCTTTTCAGAGAAAACGTTCAACGTATGGTAGCGACTGCAGTTATTGTCTCCATGTCACTGTAATGTTGATCTTGCCCGACAGATGACACTGAGACATGGTTGACACCTGTTGACGATAGGTCCTGCGCCCAGGAACAGCCCTGTAATCTGCACGGAACAGGACTCTGTACAAGACTAATGAAGGCTTCCAGTCCATGCCAGAGCAGCAGAAATCCCCCCCCCCTCCACACAAACCAACAGCCGTACCGTAGCAACAACTCAAGCTACTTTCAAGTCCGACTACTCCACTCACTCACTCACACACTGGGGCCAGTTCATGAATGAATACCCTCGCAACAGGGTCTCTACTACACGGATGCGCTAGGCTTCGCCCTCAGGGGAACCCGGTTTTCTTACAGGGTTCACTTTTTCATCTTCCTTCTACCCCCTCCCCTTCAACAAGCCATCGTTTTACACACGTCCATGAGTACAATAAGGTGCTTCGCGGAAAACAGGCACAAATAAATTCAGACTTATTCCACACAGAATTACATAAATTGAATATTTAGCATCTCACTACACAGCACATACTGTCTAGTAAAAATAAAAATTAAGCAAGTTCCAAGCTATAAAAACGAAGTTTAAAGAATAAAACAATCTCCTAGTCGAAAAATGGTCAGGAAACAGACGGAGACGTTTACTGTCCTCCGAAACGTTGGCAACCACCCACACGGCGTCAAAACCAAGACCACAATGTACAGAACCTTGATATATTCAGAGGAGAAAGAATTCCAAGACTAAACGAATGCACCTTCTACCACGCTCATATAGTTAAAGTTAACTTCTTCCTTTGCGGTTACAACAAAAATTCGTGATAAGAACTGAGAGTCGCAACCAAGTGGTTAAGCATCCCTGCTTCTTATTCGGTGGGTACCGGGTTTAAATCTCGGCCCACGGACCGGCATGCTGACTAAGGTTCCTCTCAGACCCTACACGCAAATGATGGGATAATATCTTAAATTATGCCTCGATTGCTTCTTTCCTTATCCCTTCCGATCCACAATTAATTAATCACACTGTAATTTAATACTGTACAGTCATAGCTACTAACAGAGTCTTTAAAAACCTAATAAAGTAATGAAAGTCTCAACAGTATTAACAAGATAACGCAAGTTCTGTTAAAAACAACAATACGAAACAACAAGATGAACAGCTTTTGGGAATGTTTTCAGAAAGTGAGAAAAATCTGGCTAAATTTTTTACCTAATATATAATATATAATTTTAAGTGCACACATAAGGCATATATGCAATGAGACACCTGGTGGCATTAGACATAATATATTTGGTATCGAACAAGAAAAGGTAACATTTCATGGAGTCTGCACTTTGAATCTAACCGAGTTTCGGGTGCTGACAGCTGCTAATATCTTTGTGGTGCACGTTCGAAAAAGTTCGAATCTGTTTTCGCAACTACGCCTGTGACAAATAACGGAGGTACTACGTGAAACAACCACCAACAGGCAAGAAGTTTCTCTGTCGCTCAGAACAGTGCGTGGTCCTCCATACTCTGAAACTGTTTCCTGAAAGAGACTTCTATTGCTTTAAGCCTCGTTCCATATAAGACAATGGCTGAGCAACCATTAGCTTCTCAAGACGGACTCTGCTCCACGCAGTCAACTACAGATAGATAGCACGTACGTCCGTTGACAGAGACGCTATAAATAGACAAAAGAGACCAGAGTTAAAAACGAACACGTTACTCAATATTAAAACAAATGCTAGTAGTATCCGTTCTTAGGGTCCTCAGAGAGAGACAGTCTTTTCGCTGCCAAGTAGAGCAGTCCTTGTGCCAGTGTTCCTCTTAGGAGAGAGACAGAGAGGGAGGGTAGACGGGCGAGAGGGGGCGTGAGAACCTGCGAGATGACCTGAGTGCTGGAAATGACCTGAGGTGCTTTGATGAGTCCCACACAACAAAGCACCTGGTGGTCACTTTATAACATTTTAAAAACCAACAATCAGCATGGCAATAAATACGTAACAATGAGTCAAGTCAATAAGACCTGATCTCCAGCGATGATGAAAGCGGCGTGGTCCAGGCTTTCTTACTTAGGTAATTCTGAAAACGAGTAAGGAAAGTCATTTTTGATCGAATTAAGAGATGTGAGCCGTAGCTGTCCATAGCATCGCGTTGGAAAAGACATAGCGAGTCTGACGCGCATTCGATACGTACCCGGCTCGAATTCCGTACGAGAGAGCACAGCTATTCCTGACCAAGGGTCTCTCCCTGCAGGCAAATTCGGGAACAGTATCGTCAAACAGGCAAAGCTTCCTTCTTGCCAAACGTCTCCCTATTCATAATTAATAATCAGCATACCACATCCCAGTAGATGTTACATTACCTCAGATATTATGTTTTACACAACGGGGTAAATAAAGCATAACTGAACACGTAGCATATGTAAAACAGGAAGTATTTATCACAAAGATCACGCATTTCGAGCCGATTAAGTTCAAATTCCTCGGTCACAGTGGCAACGCACGGTCTCCGACAAATGGGTCAGTGGGTTCGAATCCCTCTACGTGCACGGATGTATGGTGTTCTTCATTCTTTAGCGTAAGAAAAGAACGCCATGTATCCCACTATTGGAGCACAATTTTGGCTTCAAATCGCATAAGTGCAAGAATGACCGAGACCACGTTAGAACAAGACTGGCCTACGACGCAGAAATGGCCATGGATCACGACGTGGCGTGAAGAACACATTTGAAACGTCGATGTACTCCAGAGAGTACACTTCTGCAATCTTGTGTCTATTGTGACGTCCTGAGCAGGAAAAGGCCTTCATATGCGGCGATCCCGCTTTCAAGTAGACACCGAATCACTGCTTCAGAATCAATTTGTAGAACTTTAATAAATGGAAGGTTGGATATTTAAGGACCTGACGGCGACAAGCAAAAATACGGCTGTATTCTGGGACGCAGCGCCGTGTATGATGGCGATTGTAAGCTCATCTGAAACTTAGGTCAATATCTACCAGATTACACAGAGCTACAGCCCAGAAAACAGCTAGTTATCTGAAAGGAATGTAACAAGTTCGTTAGACAGACATAAACAGAGAAAGCTGAAGAATTAGTTTGTAACAGAAACATAAAAGCGATCAACGACAATCCACAGAAAGGCATTTCAAAGCACGCTTGACTGCATGGCAGACCTCCAGCCAAGAGTACTTAAATACGACAAGAAACAATATAAATATTCACAAAAAAAACACTATGTTTGAGCAACGTCATTAAATATCTGATTTGTCAAACAGCTCCAAACGCCTAGGGCATATTTCGGATTGCACGTCACACAATAAAATCAGTCTTTTTGAGAGAAAAGCGAGGCAACTTCCTGTCAACAGCAAATCTGATACGTCACGAACACCATCCCACAATTTGCTGAGAGTGTTACTGTAGGCTGTTAAGCCCATGCAAGCGATTCAAAGTTCCAGTACAGCATTTAATGAGGTTGTTGAGATCATTTAAAGCAGAAAATGTAAATAATTTTTGTTCATACTAACTACGCTTTCGCATTGTATTACTGTGATCGTTTGTCCAGGGCTCCGTGCTCTAAGCGGAAGGACACAGCTGAAGCAATTATCAATTTGGACAGTAATGCCGATTACGAACAGAAAAGAACTCAAAAAGAAGTACTCTTGAAGTGACGACTGAAAACGATACAAAGTGCAGAACTTGTTTTATTTCTGTCTTTCACTGCAGACAAGGAAGACAAGTGTCATGTCCGGTTGCAACCAACCGTTTCCATTTTGCAAAAAATGACGATCACAATAATGAAATCAACATCAATCTGTTAACGTCGTAACTCGGAAACGGAAGCTAATCTGAAAAAGGAAATTTATTTACATTTTCTGCTGGAAATTATCTCCTCAGCAACTTCCATAAGTACTGACCTAGAACTTTAAATCACCCTGTACAGCACTGCACTGATCTTCAATAAAATTTCATAGAAAGGGAATGTGGAATTTTTTTAAACTTGAAGAGACATCCCTGTCACCATAGGCAACTATAAATCAAGAACAAGAGTTCGGATCCTCTCGAATACGAGGCAGAAATGAAGCTTATCAACTTCTACATTTAGTCACAATTCTCATCACCGTGCACGGACACCCCTAGCTATGAAAAACAGGCGCACTCTTACACAGAATAACAGGCCTACATGTAACTTGAAAAACTCGTTTTTCTTTATTCTGAGCGGCTAGAAAGAGGTGTAATAAACTGAAAGAACATACAACATTACGCAAGCCATTTATCTTTTTGCTACCCATCAACCACTTCTGTAATCAATGAATGTGAATGCAAATAACGCATTAAAAATTTAAAACGCATTAAACTTCTTGTTGCAGATCTTAATGACGTCAGCTGTTGAACGCCGGAAAGAAACTTCTTTTACACCCAACCAAGACTCTCATAAGAGAAAGACTGGGAGGGTGTAATGTAAACTGTGTTGTAACTTGTTCAATTCTTTAAGCTTTGCAGACAGTGTTTCTGCTTCGATTTCCATTATGAGACATCGCCGGATTTATCAATTAATTCATTCATTCGTTTGTTAAAGGTTTGTAACAATGGTACATTCTGTACCAATCTTGTGTTCGCCATTCTCCATAGTAACTAGTATGCATTGGGCCTTGCTTTTACGAAGCCATCGACTATCGATCCGCCGCCCTTCGAGTCCCATTGCTTCTAATTGCGATATATTCGATTGACGATAATTACAATTAATGATGGGTTTCGTGGAACCAATTATTATCGTTAGCCAAGAGGCCACTGTATTTGATTGAGGCCTGTCCCTTCAGAAGTTATCTCAACACCACTAGTCAGTAATTATTTGTTATTATACTGACAGATTTTTTAATATCTTTATTTCTTACAATAGTGTGTGGCGATTCGGCTCAAATCCGGGACCTTCTGAATACTAAGCTAGTACACCTTTGTGGTTTAGTGGTCCAGGATTTGATCCTAACCATCGCCATTGGTGTTAAAAATAAAGAGAATACAAAATCTGACAAGGTATTAAAATCCAATGCCTGAAGACGGGAGAAGAGGAAACGCCCGAAGCGTTATGTACGACAAAAAAATCTTATCAGACACAGAAACCAATCTCAGACAATGGACGATGCCTGACAAAGTTATC